AATATCAACCCCAAGTCTGTAATGTCTCCGAGCCCAAATCAGCTCCATCAGGTCCGTATCAACCCTAAGTTCGTAATGACTCCGAGCCCAGATCGGCTCCATACATACAACATACAAGCACATCAACAAGGGTCACAAAGACAACATGCACAATCGACTCCTAGTGTCTTATAATACAGTGAGAAGAATCACCTCACAAGTAGCAGCTAAACACCATAACTCTCACCCAACAAAGACTAATCCTACAAGGCACCTAACAACAATAAAGAGTACCCTCTCAGTATACACTCCAAAATCCTTATTTTGACCAAAAGTTAACCTATGCCGAAAGTCAACGGTCAAAGTCAAAGTCGAAAACCACAATAATAAAAAATTATTGTCACGTCATGACCAGCTCATGGTCACGTCATGGCCACATCGACAATTTAGCCACGACCCAAAACCATCTCCACGTCGTGAGGATCATGCCCTTACGTCATGACCAAGCCAATCCAAAATAATCGAGATAAATCTCATTGTTACGTCGCGACCACCATATGGTCACGTCATGACTACTGCAGATTATGACACTTAATGAATTCAACCCTTAATCCAGAAGACCATCCATTTCAACTTTCCAAAGGGCCTTCTTAATCCAAAAACATCCTAAAAGTCGATTGTTTATAGACATGAATGTCCAATGAATGTCTAGATCTCATAAAAGGTCAAAATGAAGGAGAAATGAGACCACACTCACATGAATTACATCAAAACTCAGGCAAACCTCATATCCATTAAATATAACCTTCAAGGGACCATAAGGACCCATAAACTTGCCAAATTTATGGAATCCTCCCCTCCAAATTTCAACAATATGAAGAAAAAGGAACAATAAGCCTAGATCTAGAAGCTAACATAATAAAGTTTGGATCTTGACTACTTACAATGCTCCAGAAATGGCTCAAACTCAAACTCCAAGCTTGCCAAGAGGTCTTATACACCACAAGGGTCTTCTTCATCCTTTCAAGGACACCAAAACTCCAAGAATAAGCTCACAAATAAAGAGAAGGCTATTAGGGTTTGATCAAAGCTCTAGAGGGTGATGGATTCTGGAAATAAAACCCTAAATTCGGGATTAGGGGCTTAAATATGAAGGAAACCCTAAAAGATCATGAGCTTGGGTTGCAGCCCTTGTCATGTCGTGACAATACACATGTCACATCGTGATTAGCCTCCGGATGCACGTTCTCATTCTTGACATGTCACGTCGTGACCTCCCTATGGTCACGTCGTGACTCATGGTTTTTCCCAGAAACCAATCCTTTGACTCCTTAATGCCCTACACCGATCCATTTTAGAAAACGAGTGTTACAGAAAGAAAAGTTGATTTTTTGAAGACTATTAAGTTTGACATAAAATGTTTCGTTATTTCATATCTAACGGAGAAATCAAAGAGAGAAAGTATTTGCAAATTTTGTATAAAGATGTGAAAAAGCTCTCGAATATGAGAAGAAAGATCGTGAAGATTATATGAAATATTAGATGAGTTTATATATGAAATGTAATGGTTTATTTATCAAATAAATCGTAATACCAATGAATCTTTTCAAATTATTATTGCACCATTCTAGTTACATACACTATGCCAATGTTATCAACAAAAAGATGACATTAACAAAATATATAAATTTCAATTTAACATAGAAAAATAAATTGGTGCAAGAAAAGCCGCTAAGAAGATAGAACATTCTTCAGATTATGTTCTGTTCGATTGCCAAAAACATATATTGAATGTCACCGACTATTTATCTGTTATTGTGATTAACCTAATTTTTTCTTAGCCGATGATTATGTGCGGTGTCGGACCGGTTACTATTGGGTTTTGTTAAACTTATGTTCAGTGTCCAAGACTTGAACTTCTATCACATGCCATTTTTAAATGGACAATATTTATCACCAAAAAATACATCTACGTTTCCTCGCCTTAACAATTCGTTAAACTTCCATATGAGACTCGCAATATTAGATGATATTATATTTGGTGTTGGTTACTATTCGGTTCCGATAATCTTATGTTCGGTGTCCAAGACTTGAATTTCTATCACTTGCCAATTTTAAATGGGCAAGATTGTCACTCATAAATACATCTACATTTACTCTCATGAACAATTCATCATACTTCCATACAAGACTTTCAATGTAAAAGGAAACTTATATTCGATGCCAGTAACATATATTGAATATCGCAGACTATTTTTCCACTATTGCGTGTCAACCTGAAATTTTTTAGGCCAATGAGTATTTGCGATGTCAAATGATTACAACATAAAACATTTTTTAGCATATGATAATTGTTGAACAAGTTTTCTTAAATTGTTAAAAAAAACACACCACCCAATGTCTACAAACACTGAAACAATTTAAATCTTCTTAATTCTTTTCCATTATTTTGTATTTATCACTTGTCATTTTCAAACAGACAACATTATCACCAACAAATACATCCAAGTGACCTCCATTGAGAAATCCATTAAACTTATATATGAGGCTCTTTTCATCCGTACTAAAAGACACTTTCCCCAACATTATCATACAAACAAACAAACGGAAAAAATTAAACCAATGCAAAGTAAAGCGAGGAAACATAGATATGTCAGATAGTTACCTCGTGCTCCTATGAAACCATATCATTGATGTTCAATTTTATCGCCTTCATGCATATATATTTCTTCCACAACGAAGAAGAACATTGATTATGATGTTTCATCTGAACAAAAAGACACAAATCAACAACCAATAAACTATAAATAGTAACAAAAATCAATAAGATACATTAAAAATCTTATAATGATTACAGTAAGCATTATATGTTGAACATATATCATTTATACACACACAAATGGTCACTTACAATGTTAGATGGAAGACCAAAGACTGCCATTAAATTACCAAATACAACATGTAACAAGAGTCAACCGAAGAGCCACCCCCAATCGAACGTCACATCGAAAAATGAAGACGTCCTAGAGATTGTTATTCTTAAATCGAGTTGAACTAGATGTTCCAGGTGGCTTCGAAACATGCTCCTTGCGATAAATCAATAAAAGTCTTGTTAAGTTAGGTTTGTTGCAATTATCTTCTAAAAAAGTTATACTATGTATATACATATCATGTTGTTTATACAATTGCAAGTTTTTCAAAAAGAATTAAATACCAAAGCTATATTGGTATATCTATGGTTTGTATCTTTCGTCGGTAATAACATACCCTTTACGGATCTCAACAAGAGACAAAAAAAAAAAAAAAAATTGTGATTGAAGTTTATAGGTTTCCGATGACAAGTAAAGGTGATATGAAAGTATGATTTTCAAAGAAGAACTAAGCCGAGAATACTCATCGGAGAATAGGAGATGAAGGATGGGAAGGAACTAGGCATGGGGAAGGATGTGATATATACCGATTAAAATAATAATAATATAATAATAATTTTATTGTTTTTCTTATCCTTTTATCCACTTACACCCCGTTCCCGAGTTGAACTTAACGAGAGAAAGGAAAGGAAATGGGTGGAAATGAGATGAAAAATAAAAGAAATTGTTGTTCCCGAATTTCATTAAAGGAGGGAAGTGGAGAGAAATGGGAGTATCACTTTCCCTGCTAACTTTCCTTCCGATTTGGGAGGATTTGGAAAGAAAGAACAAAATGATTCATTTTTCTTCCACTTTTCTCCAACTCGGGAACACAAAAGAAAATTTTGTTTTTCTTTCATTTCTCTCTTTTTTTCTCTAGTAACTTTCTTTTCTCTTCTCTTCTTTTCTTTTGTTAAACTCGGGAACGAAGCGTTAAAGGTTAACCTGAACAAAAAATGACATGTCACTAAATTCTGAATTCTAACCTGAAGATCTAAAAAAACAATTTTAGAAGTTTAAATATAATGGTGGGGTTTTAGGCCAAGGAGTGTCATAGTCTAAATACCAACGGAATCCGACGTGACTTTATTCACCGCCGGTGAAAACTGGGCCGCGACTTCAGTTTTACCGCCGGTATAATACCGACGGCGGCTTGCTACCGACTGCAATAAACTAAAGTTTTGACCGTTTGGAGAAGTGAACGTTGCCAAATGGTTGGCAACGGCTATTTGTTGTTTTTTTTCTTTCTTTTTTTAAAAGAAATCTACTATATATATACAATTCATTTTTTCAAAATTTAACCACACTAAACACTATTTACAAACATTTTGCATTGAAAATGTCTTCCATCAATCCAAACTCTTCAAAACAAAATGCTCCAAACCAAAATGTTAACAACTCTTTCGCACTTTTCGGCTATGATCCGTTATCACCACCACCTTACCGGCCACAAATGGATGGTGTTCCTAGCTATTATTCACAATTTCAAATGTCACAATAATTCCATTTCCAATCTCAAACCTAATTTCCATCCCAACCGCCTTTCACACCTTCAACTGAAATTGTTTCTGATTCTAAACACGAAGAACAAGAACAACAACCTCAACAACAAAAGAAAGGGAAGGACAATCCGAGAAGATGAACAAAAAGAGAAGAAGTTGAGTTAGCAAAGGCATGGGTCGACATATCCGAAGATGGTGGCACGGGAAATGGTCAAAATCGTGATCAATTTTGGTTACGTATCACGGAGCGATTTTGTAAGGAATGAGTCGAGATCCAGATTAACGGACCTCCAACCAATGTAACTCGAAATGGAATCTTATAAACAAACTCGTGATACAATGAAATGGAATTTACACAAACTTTGAAAAGCAACAGGCTAGCGGAGAAAGTGAAACGAGTTTGTTGAAAAAAAAACCCACACTACATTCCGAGATGATATGCTAAAGCCTTTTAAGTTTATTCATGTGTGTGAAGTTGTCAAAAGAAACATTAGGTGGAGGGAACTTGCAACACATGAAGAAATTGCTAATCCGCCAAAAAGAAGCCGAACATCTTCATATTTGAGCTCACAACAAGTCTCATCGGATGGTCATGTAGGCATTAATCTTAATGATGATAACGACGACATTGAAGATATACGCCCACCTCCTCCTCCAATGGGGAAGGGACAAAACAAAAGCTCGAGCAAAAGGAAAAGGGAAAGCGACATCTTCAAATTCGTCAGTCGGACCCGAGCGGTTAGCTAAATCCGAGGAAATGATGATACAAATGACACAACTGAATTCAACTTTGGAGAGACATATGACTAAAAACTTCCGACTCACAAAATATTCGTTGTTAATGCAAGATGTGAGATACCGCGACCCCGAAGATCAAGAGGCGGCTAAAGTGGTGAAACAGTCGATTATCGAAAAATATAAGCTAAACCGCAAATGAAATTTCGATGTTATGTTTTTTTTAATGTAATTTTTAATTTAATGTTATTTTTTATATTTAGGATTTCTAAAATGTAATTTTTAATTTTAGTATGGTTTTACAAAAGTTATTATTTTTTATTGAAATTAAAAAAGAAAAAAAAAACTCATAAGTAAACCATTTACCACACCCTACGTGACACCGTTTTAAAATTTGTAAAAAAGACACCATACCCCTTAGCCTTAATGGTCGAGAAAATTAATATGGTGTTTTTTTATTCCGCACACGGTCAACTTTACATAAAATTGCTTTTATTCCAATATGATAATTTTTTTCATTGTTGAAAATTCACATTTGTATGACTTCAATCATTGTATAGACAGTGATTAATTGTTAGACGCATTCCACTCGACGTGTACCGTTTAGGGACTAATTAACGATTAGTCATGATTTTGACAACAGTGAATAATACATTAATTTAAAAAGATTTATATTTCAAATATTAAAACTGTATTTATAGTTAAAAAGTTATATTTTTTTTTTGATAATATGTTAACTTATAGAGAATTAAAATATTTTCGAAAAAAAATCAATAAGAATAACATTTTGATATTTAACATTTATTCTTGTGTTTTTTCTATTTCATAATTAGTTATGCTAATACTTTTCCTCTTTTCCTCTTTAATTATATAGTATAATTTAATTATCATCGTAGAAAGAGTGAGATGGCAAATGGGCAACGCCACTAAATCTTTTTGTATGGTAAAGCTAATTCTTTTAAAGACTACATTCATAGATCTAGGAGATATAACATTGATGTGCATGATCCGTTGTATTTTATTAAGAAGCTCCACCGCATCCGGCGCGAGGAAACCAAACATATCAAATGCAAATGGTATGAACACGTGTTGATTTTCCATGCACGATTTCTAATGTTTTGGTGACTTTGCCTGTAGCAGCTTTAAAGCAGCCTGTCTCGCCATGAAATCCCCAACCCTTAAGCCCACGAGAGGGGATACCCTGTAAGGTCCACACATGTGTGTTTCCCTCCGACCCATCCAAAAATCAAAATGTCAGTCGATCTAAGGGTTGACATTCCTTCTGCCGGGTCAGTCAAGAAATTCACAGGTGCCTCTTTCTTAGCGGAAACCCTGACACACTTAAATATATCAAATAAAACATCCCTAAACATATCGTGCCTGTATTTTAACCATGAGAGTTCTTTACAGTGAACTGCATGCTCTCCAAAAGTGTCCAAACATGCCTTGCGACACATCGGACATATCTCGTCAGCTGGGAATATTGGCATCATTAGTCGATATTTTAGGATAGTACGATACTCCACAGGAGACATATGTTGGTCAAGCCCATCTATAGGGATAGTTAGAAGAAAATATTGAGCATGTGGTGCATGTAAGCACTGGAAAACCGCTTTTTGCGGAGTCATCATGTCGAGATGCACTTTCATATCTTGGACAATTTTACAAATAAAGGCACTCGCCAGTGTATCCTGGGATTTAGGGGGGGGGGGTCATAATTGTTCATATATATATATATATATATATATATATATATATATATATATATATATATATATATATATATATATATATATATATATAATAAAGCAAAGGATATATTTTGTAAGTATAAAGTGGGAGGACAAGAATCAGTTTTTAATTTTTACATCATAATTGATGTGAATCATGTGACACTTGTAAAAAAAACCAATTTCTATAGATTTTCTCCCACTTCAATCGCTTCATCATGGAGTTAGAATTCGATTGGTACCAATAAAATTCCCCTTTGTCGTAATATAAAGGGATAATGATTTGAGAGGGTAACAAACTTTCAACTTTGTTCATATTTAGTCATTGAATTTTTTTTCATGCTTGATTTACCCTTGAATTGTTTGAAATTGTTCACATTTTACCCTTATGACCGGCTATAACCGGTCATAAGGGTAAAATGTGAACAATTCCAAATAATTTAGGGGTATATCAAACACGAAAAAAAGTTTAATGACTAAATGTAAACAAAATTGAAAGTTTGTTACCTTCAAGCCATTATCCCGTAAATGGTTCTAAACGTTATTAGGAATGAGCACAAGCTAAATATGAAGGTGACAAAAGTGAGGTTGTTGTAGTAATCGTCTGATATACCTTTATTTTGTAAGGCACAAGAAACAACACTTAGAAATACTATAGAAACGACTTTAATCACATAGAAATTGAAGAAACAAATATTGTAGTGGTTTCAGACATAAACTTAGGACATAGGCAACAATTTTCACTCCAGAGGGTGGAGACGGTCGTTGTAGATCGTGTGAGGACGAGAGAAGATATGATAAAGAAGCGTGAAGATAATGCAGTGTTAAATTTGAATGAGGTTTTTCTCTTTACAAGGACACGATCTTTGATTCGAGAGTGTGGATGCATAAGATCAAGGTCGTGGAGTACTACATGAGTAGTCTAGTTCTAGTTGCATTTACATTGTTTGTGCATTTTTCCTAGTTTTCACTGTTTTTACTTTCAACTTGTTTTGTTGATACTTTTCTTCATAATTATTACTTGTATCCACATTTTCTATTTTTATATTGGTTCTATATGTACCTTCTCACCATGCTCATTTTTATTTTCAATCTATGCTCGTATATGTGTCTTTTTGCCTTTGTGAAACTCTACTAGTTATTTTTTCTTTTTGTGTTGGCGTAAACCACTAATATGTGAATAAAGAAACTCTAGTTAAAATTTTATCTCATTGACTGAGATTAAAGCAATGAACTAGAACATGGTTATGTGATACGCATTCTATTATGTGATACTCCTTACAAATACAACACAAAACAAATCGTAGTGACTAAAATCAAAATTATTAATCTAAGTAATTGCTACCAATAAGAAAAATAAACTAAGAGATGATTATAAAAGGGATAATGAATGAAAAGGGTAGCAAATTTTCAACTAGTTTATATTTAGTCACTGAACTTCTTTTCGTGCTTGGTTTACCCATGAATTATTTGAAATGTTTACATTTTACCCTTATGACTGGTTATAACCGGTCATAAGGGTAAAATATGAACAATTTCAAATAATTCAAACGTAAATCAAGCACGAAAAAAAAATTCAGTGACTAAATGTAAAAAAAGTTAAAAGTTCGTTACCCTCTCAAATCATTATCCCTAATATAAATTATAGCCGAAAAATTTGATGGGTCACTATTCATCAACATAAATGTGTCTAAGTTTGAATTTAAAATGGTTTGCAAAAAATTATCCTGGAATTGCCTTGAAGGATAAAGTTTTGTATGTTTTTCATAAAATAAATGTTTATTTGTATTTTCTAAATTTTGTTATTTTTATCTATCTTTCTATAACCATTAATTTAGAATTTTATACCATGTCATATCAATTATATAAAACTTTTATAAACTTTTCTTTGATTTTAAAAAAGTCATAATTTTATAAAGGTAATGAAAATGTGTTATTGTTGAACTTAAAATGGATTGCAAAAATGATGTTGAAGGAAAATGTTTTGTATGTCATTCATCAAATAAATGTTTATATATATATATATATATATATATATATATATATATATATATATATATATATATATCCATAACTACTAATTTAGAATTATTAGGTCATATCAATTATATAAAACTTTTATAAACTTATCTTTGATTTTCGAAAATGTTATAATTTTACAAAGGGTAAGGAAAATGAGTTACAACTTAAAATGGACTGCAAAAATGTAGAGTTGCTGGTAAATGCTTTGTATGTCTTTCATAAAATAGGATTTTATTTATTTCAAATTTGTTATTGTAACCGTATTTCTATAAGAGGATTGGGTATGGGTCACACCCATACCCATCCACAACGTTGCCACATCACCAGTAACTCTTCATGACTTCTAGAGGGGGGGGGGGTATTCCCAGTTTTAACCTCGTTGAGGTGAAGCAAAAAAAGAAGAAAAATAGAGGAAAGAAAGAGTATGGCGTTATGCCGGCAACGAGAAGCAACGAGGAACACCAAAACGAGAAGCAGGGGCGGTATATGTGGCGTTATGGCAACGTTATGGAGGTGCCACATAGGCACCTCCATGACGTTATGGTCCCGTACCGTATGCTCTAACCAAGGGATTTCCACAGTAAAGTCCCAATATTTAGGGAAAAGTTTTAAAAAGTCCTAATTTTTTTTTGAATAAAAGAGCCCAATAAACCGGATAAACCTAACAATTTAATCCCATTCATCCGGTAAGCCTCATTTAACCGGTTACAAATGTATATGTGGCATCTTCATGGTGACTGTGCATTGACTTCATTTGTTTAGGGTTTTTGTTTAAAGAAAACCCCTTTATTCTCGCCTCCAGTTATTCCTGAAAATCCTTGGATTCATCCAAAGCAAAGCCTGTGTTCCTCCAAAGATTTTGTCGATGGATGAAGTAATTGAGCCGGACACCATCGACGTTAAACTTGATAATTTTTTCAAAAGAAAGCCAGTTTCAAGATGCAGAGATGAGTTCTTAACGTTATGTGTGAAGAGAGTGATGACGAACCACTAGGAGGTGAAGGAGAGTATACACGAGTGGAGTCCAACAGTTATGGTGAAGTAGATGATGAGAAAGATACTGAAGAACCTAGTGAAGAAGATAGTGATGAAGATCAAATCGAATATTCCATCCATGATTCGAAGGTCAAATGGAATGTTATGAAACCAGTTCTCAGAGAAAGGTATGAGTCCATACATCAACTCAAATTATGTTTAACAAATTATTCCATCCATAAGGGTTATAAAATTCGTTTCAAGAAGTGTGATAGTGTTAGACTAGTGGTTGTATGTGCAACTGATCCAGAAAAATGCCCTTTTATGGTTCGTGCTTCATGGATGAGTACTGAGAAATCATTCCAGGTGAAAAAGATTAATGAAAGGCATACATGTGTTAGGAGTTTTAGTAGTTCAAGACTTATGAATCCAACTTGGTTAGCAAAGCAATTTGTGAAAGAACTAGTAAGGAAAC